CGTGAAATTGTAACTACATCGCTACAGTTTTAGAGATATACGTTGAGTGGTGCCTGAAAGTTACGGTTTAACGTTGGATAGAATCGAGTGCTGAGGATGGAGGGGGGACCAGTTGATGTGCGATGTTGTACAGGGTGCTGCAGATGTCTTATCACTCCATTTCTGTGGGGCACCACGGTGGCTCAGAGATGTTAACTACCTCGCCTGGTATGCATGAAGTCGTGAGTTCGATCCCGACCCTAACGATGCCTGCTGTATATTTGGAGTCTGCGTCTCTCTCTATCTGCGTGGTTGCATTCAATTTTTTTCCGGGACACCCGGTTTTCTTCCTCCACATTCGAATCGACGTCTCTATGATTTCTGAGTTATTTGGCTGCTACTATAAATGTCCACGTGATGATGATGATCTTCTTGGTTCTTTCGGTAAAGTCACGTAGAAGGGAAATAAAAAAATAAAAAATAAAAAGATAATTAAATAATTCTCACGACGTTTCGGCCACAACGCAAGCAGCCGTCCTCAGGTGAAGAACAAGTCTGTCGGAAAGACAGCGTCTGACGACGAAACGTCGTGAGAATTATTTTATTATGTTTTATAATTTATTATTTCCCTTCTACGTGACTTTACCGAAAGAACCAAGAAGATTAATCCCTGCAGTCACGAAAGCTTTGAATCGATGATGATGATGATAATAGGCCGTCAGTTCGTTGAGCTATCATTTGTGATAGTCAGATCGCTACTGAAAAACAGCTACTGCATAGCAGGTCAGTGGGGCCTTGCCTGGTCAAATAAACATATTTATTTCAAAATTATTTAAACGTTTATATAAGCAAAGGGTGAAACAAATGCTAGGGAGTCAATTCAGGGGGGAAAGGGGGATGCGGAGGGGGGGGGGGGCACGAGACATCTGGACCACCTTGTACATGAACATTCCGTGAAAGACCTAAATTAATTTTGGTTGTTTTCAAATTGATGATAAAATTATATGATGATGATGATGATAATATAACAACAATACACCATCGTCTGGTGGGGAACTCGACGACGCTGAGCCAGAGGTCAAAGTTCATCGTACAGAGCCTGAACAAGGTGAGCGCATGAACGGGTGATTGCACGAACGGATGAGAGGCTGTACAGGTGAGCGCATGAACGAGTCAGAGTCTGAACGGGTGAGCACATGAACGAGTGAGGGCTGTATGGGTGAGCGTATGAACGGGCGAGAGTCTGAGGGTGGAAGTGGGGAAAGGGAGGGAGGGGGTTATAATATATATGCAGTTAATCCTGCAATCATTGTAATGTAAGTACGTATGGGTTGAACTTATTTTGCATCTTACGTGACCGTATAGACCGTGTTTATTTTAAATATAACATCATCTCCACTCACGGGGTGAGGGGGAGGGGGAACGATCCATTGTACAGAAATGAAATGCTAAGTTAAATTAAATCATATTCTTTTGGTTTTTCGGTAAAGTCACGTAGATAGGTTCAAAGAAAATAACAAATAACTATGACGTTTCGATCGCAACACAAGCGGTCGTCATCAGGAAGCCAACCCCCTATTCCTGATGACGAATACTTGTTTTGCGATCGAAACGTCGTAGTTTTTGTTATTTTTTGTTATTTTATTTGAGCCTATCTGCGTGACTTTACCGAAAGAACCAAAGCATAGGAAAAGGGGGTAAGCCTCTAAAGGCAAACTGTTTATAAAGGTTCAAAATGGGCTTAGCCCAAGTGTCAGCAGCATGGGTGGGGTAGCTAAAGTTAATGTAAGGGATTAAAAACGGTGTGGCCCAGCATGTAGGGCGGTGCTGGTAGTGGAGGGCAACGACGGCGCTGGTGGTGGGTTACCACCAATTAAAGGGCTGCCAGGTAATCATTGCACCTCGCTTTACACATTCACACTGGTGATGGTGGAGGTTGCTGCTAGTGGTGATGGTAGTAGTGGGCAGTGATGGTTCTGGTTGTGGGCTTCCACCAATTAAAGGGCTGGCAGGTCTAAAATGCAAACATTACAGCCAGTTATGACTTAAACTGGTTGATAAAGTCCTTCCAATGATTGCTGAGTTTGTACCCATCTTCTCGGTTGAAATTGTGTCTATGTCTGTATATATGGATGGCTTCATGAACAAATCTTTGTTGATAGCCAGTGTGTTTGCAAAGTACTTTCGTCTTAGAAATGCCGGCCTTCACAGGCACTGCCGCTCGCTAACAGCACTTGCCCCAACAGTCTGTTGAAGGCTACATGCGGGCATCTTTGTCATTGTGCGTGCATCACCGGGGCGCTGATGGATATTCGTACAGGCGAATTTTGTTATTGGAGTCCATGGGAGACTGTTACGTAGGAGTCTATGGGAGAATGTAACGTTGGAGTCTATGGGAGACATTAACCTTGGAGTCTATGGGGGACTTTAACCTTGGAGTCTATGGGAGACTTTAACATTGGAGTCTATGTATCGTGTGTATAACTAACGTCACAGAGACGTCTTCTGGAGGCAACGCTTTTATTACAACAGACTCAACGGACAGTGACTGTAACACAAAGGGGTACGGCAGCTTCAACCCGATAGCCTAAGGGAGGTACAGCCTTCCTGCTAGCCTGTCCTACACACCCCTGGTTACACTACACACAGGTCCTTTGCTACGGCCGCTAAGGGAGGCTAGACCGACCCGACCCAGCCAGGATACGGGTCCCACAACCGGTCGGCTACAACCCGGCTCTGACAAGAGCCTCGGTTGCGGGTCCCAGGGTGCTGGTCCAGTCTTCAGGTCTTCGGACGGCTTCAGGCTTGAGTTGGTGAACTCTCCCGGACCCGTTCAGAGGGCCGGCTTTTATCCCCAGGTCGGGGGCTTCATCATCATGGCTTGGCTTCGCGAACGAAGATCTAGGAAGGACATCCACGTCTTCTGCAGGCACGCTGGTGGCTGAAGAGGCCTATGCGGGACAAGCAGGTCCTGCCACAACAGCTGCAAGTATAGGTCTCATCTGGGATGGGTGCTGAGGGATCATGGTTCTTCCTCCTTCTCCTTTTGTCCTCCATACGGGCCCTGCGGGTATCTTCGAAGAAGGAGGTGGCCTGGTGGACTGTGTGCCGCCAGGAGTTGCGATCAGCTGCTTGTGTTGCCCACTGACGGTGATCGATGCAGCAAGCAGTGAGGGACTTCTTCAGGGAGTCTTTGTATCGCTTTCGTGGTGCCCCTATGTCGCGATGGCCAGAGGACAGTTCCCCATACAGCACGATCTTAGGCAAGCGGTGGTTCTCCATCCTGGCGATGTGCCCTGCCCAACGAAGCTGTGTCTTGAGGACCATGGCCTCGATGCTGATGACCTTCGCTGACTTGAGGACTTCAGTGTTGGCGACGAAGTCACTCCAGTGAATATTGAAGATTGTGCGGAGGCAGCGCTGATGGAAACGCTCGAGGAGACTCAGGTGACGACGGTACGTGACCCAGGACTCAGCGCCATACAGGAGAGTGGTCAGCACAACAGCTTTGTAGACGTTGACCTTTGTGGCTCTTTTAAGGTTTTTGTTGTTCCAGACACGTTTGTATAGTCTGCCAAATGCACTGTTTGCCTTGGCCAGCCTGTTGTCGACTTCGTTGTCGATCTTGGCGTCAGACGAGATGACGCACCCCAAGTAGCTGAACTGGTGGACAGCTTTCAGTTATGTTTGTTCAATGAAGATGCTTGGTGGATGGTGCTCCTCATGGGGTGCGGGCTGATGAAGAACTTCAGTCTTCCTCAGGCTGACTTCAAGGCCGAAGATCTGAGCTGTTTTCGCGAAACAGGACGTAATTCGCTGCATAGCTGCCTCTGTATGAGCAAGGAGGGCGGCATCGTCAGCAAAAAGCAGCTCCCTGATCAGTTGCTCCATGGTCTTTGTGTGGGCCTGCAAACGCCTCAGGTTGAACACGCTCCCGTCGAGACGAAAACGGATGTATACGCCATCAGCGTCGTCGAGGTCCTCTGTGACCTGCTGGAGCATCATGCTGAACAAAATGGTGAACAGCGTGGGAGCAAGAACACAGCCCTGTTTCACGCCGTTTGCAATAGGGAAGGGCTGCGAGAGATTGTTGCTATTTCTGACTTGTCCAAGCTGATCTTCATGAAGCTGGACGATCATGGTGAGGAACTTCGGTGGGCAGCCTAGCTTGTCCAGGATTTTCCAAAGTCCCTGCCTGCTCACGGTGTCAAACGCTTTTGTCAGGTCCACAAAGGTGACGTACAGTGCTTTGTTTTGCTCCCGGCACTTTTCCTGAATCTGCCTCAGGACAAACACCATGTCTGTGGTTCCCCGGTTGGCTCTAACGCCACACTGGGTCTCTGGGAGGTGATCTTCAGCTATTGCGGGTACCAGTCTATTCAGCAGTACTCTTGCGAGGATTTTGCCGGCGACGGACAGAAGTGTTATGCCACGATAATTGGAACAGTCTGATTTCTCCCCTTTGTTCTTGTACAGGGTGATGATGACTGCGTCTTTGAGATCTTGAGGGAGTTTACCCTGCTCCCAGCAGCAGACGAAGAATTCATGGAGTTTGGTGTGCAGTGCTGGGCCTCCGTTCTTCCATACTTCAGGAGGGATGCCATCGACTCCTGCAGCTTTACCACTCTTCAGCTGTTTAATGGCTTCCTCAGTCTCTTGTAATGTTAGTGCCACATCCAGTTCGGTTTTCACTGGTTGTTGTGGGATGTGGTCAATCGCTGGTTCTTGGACTGAGCGGCTAGCATTGAAGAGCGTGTAGAAGTGCTCAGACCAGCGGTTCAGGATTGAGTCCTTTTCAGTGAGCAGTTTTTTCCCGTCTGCACTCCGCAGGGGGCTCAGGATTTGGTACGAGGGGCCATATACCGCTTTTAGGGCTTCGTAGAATCCCCTGTAGTCGCCAGTATCAGCGCAAACCTGAGTTTTTACTGCGAGGTTGGTCCACCACTCGTTCTGAATCTCTCGAAGCTTGCGCTGGATGGTGCTGCATTCCAGGCGGAAGGCTGCTTTTTTGTGCGGGCAGGATGGTCGGGCCAGGTGGGCCTGGTGTGCTGATCTCTTCTTTGACAGCAGCTCCTGGACTTCTAAGTTGTTCTCATCGAACCAATCTCTGTTTTTCTTCGTGGAGAATCCGAGGGTATCTTCAGATGTTTGCAGAACAACAGTTTTGATGTGGTCCCACAGCACTTCAGGAATCGGAGGCGAGTCTCCTAGGCAGCTCGGTTCCTCTAGCCTAGATCGTAGGCTTTTCTGGAAAGCTGCTTTGACCGCGGCAGACTGAAGGCTGCAGACTTTGAGCTTCTTCCTCGGGGGGCGCCACCGTTTCTTGGTCTGGGTTTAAAGTGAAAGCTGAGTTTGCAGCGGACAAGACGGTGGTCTGTGTGACACTCGGCGCTGGGCATTACCCTGGTGTGAAAGACATCTTTTAGGTCACGCTGGCGCACAAGGATGTAGTCTATGAGATGCCAATGTTTTGACCGAGGGTGCATCCAGGTTGTTTTCAGACTGTCTTTCTGCTGGAAGATGGTGTTGGTAATGGAAAGCTGCTGTTCTGCACAGAGTTCAAGTAACAAGCGTCCATTGTCGTTGCAGCTGCCCACGCCGTGCCTTCCAAGTACGCCTTTCCAGGTTTCCGAGTCTCTGCCCACTCTGGCGTTGAAGTCGCCAAGGATGACAATCTTGTCGTCAGCTGGGATATCCTGCAGAAGGCTGCGTAGGTCTGAGTAAAACTTGTCTTTATCAGCGGGATCTGCCTGGAGAGTTGGAGCGTACACACTGAGCAGCGTTGCGTGTTGTTGGTCACGAAGTGGTAGACGCATTGAGATGATGCGGTCAGAGTGGCCGGTTGGCAGGCTTGTAAGCTTGGTAGCGATAGAGTCCCTGATCATGAAGCCGACACCTGAACGGCGTCTCTCTGTCGCTGGTTTGCCTGACCAGTAGAGAGTGTAACCTGCGCCATGCTCCCTCAGACTGCCTTTCTCTGAAAAGCGGATTTCGCTGAGGGCGGCGATGTCAACATCCAGCCGAGCGAGTTCGTGTGCAATTAGAGCAGATCGTCGCTCAGGTCGAGTGCTGTCAGCTGAGTCTAGCATGGTTCTGATGTTCCAGCATGCGAGTTTGAGTCCTTTCCCACCTTTTAAGGCGAGTGGGATGCGCCGTCGATTCTTTGATGTAATTCGACCGCATATGAAGATGCCCGTTGACCGCGGTAAGCCAACTGAGGGAGGAGGAGACGAGCTTTGTTTAGGCCACCTTTTCTAGGCCCCTCTCCGTGTGGAGCAAGCAGTGCTGTCCCTAGAAAAGGCTGCTTGCTCGCTCAGGGTGCTGCCGGGTGATGATGTCGTTTCCAGGTCATCATCAGACGACCACTTGCGCCTGAGCCGCCTGCATGCAGGATTGAGACCGCGGCTGCCAGTGTCATCTTACACCTGCCGGGTTCGCCCCTTTCCCATCGCTACAGGACTTAGTGAGACCAGGGGGGGGGGGGGGTAGACGTGAAGATTTCCTTCTTGCCTGCGCAAAGGAGCTTTCAAGTGGAGTGCAGTGTGCGCAGAACTGACCCCACCCTTTAAATCCGGGGTTCGTCTGCCATGGCCCAGCAAGCTGGGACGGTGACAGCGAGGTCCTCGGGCCGTAGGTTTTACATCAGAGTTTCTTTCTCCTAGGTAGACGGCCTTCCAAGGCTGAAGAGATCCACCTTCCCTGCTATTTCAAACCATAGCTGGTAGGCCACAGCCGCAGTCCACAGTAACGAAGTGGCGCGCCTTGGTCCCGAACACTTGGCCGTTGGGTCCTAACGAGACCCTTCCGCCCTGGCCGGTGACTCCGTCGTGGGAGTTCATTCGCCCAGCGATGCAGTGTTGACATCACCCCCTCACGTCGTTTAGCCCGCCAGCTGAAGCGGTTTGCCGGGGTGTGGCACTAGGAGCCAGACGTCAGAGATTTAGGAGATGGATGAGGACCAGTGTTTCCGTCCACTCAAAAATTGAGTGCAGCTACCAGAAAACAAAGGTACTACCTCTACCCAGAGCTCCCTACACCCCTCTCCTAATCGCACCCCCTTCAGAACCTTCCAGAAACGACTGGAAGGTTCTGGAAAGGTCTTAAAGGGTGTAAAATCGGCGGTGGCTCCTATCCCCCCAGCCCCCAGCCCCCAGCCCATGGGGGTTTGGGCTGTCAACCTCCGGTCACGGGCCACGGGGGGGGGGGGGGGGGGTTATCTTCGGTCATCCCCTACACACCTCGTTCTCTCTCTCGGCTGCCCCCTGTTGGCCCGTGAGCGTGGTGGCAGGTAAGGCGACATACAGCGCCTTGGTATGGCGCAACATCTGTAAGACTTTAACGCGAGAGTCTATGGGAGACTTTAACGTTGGAGTCTATGGGAGACTGTAACGTTGGAGTCTATGGGAGACTTTAACATTGGAGTCTATGGGAGACTTTAACATTGGAGTCTAAGGGAGACTTTAACATTGGAGTCCATGGGAGACTTTAACATTGGAGTCTATGGAAGATTTTAACGTTGGAGTCTATGAGAGACTTTAACGTTGGAGTCTGTAGGAGACTTTAACATTGGAGTCTATGGAAGATTTTAACATTGGAGTCTATGGGAGACTTTAACATTGGAGTCTATGGGAGACTTTAACATTGGAGTCTTTGGGAGACTTTAACATTGGAGTCTATGGGAGACTTTAACGTTGGAGTCTGTAGGAGATTTTAACATTGGAGTCTATGGGAGATTTTAACATTGGAGTCTATGGGAGACTTTAACATTGGAGTCTATGGAAGACTTTAACATTGGAGTCTATGGGAAACTTTAACATTGCAGTCTATGGGAAACTTTAACATTGGAGTCTATGGAAGACTTTAACATTGGAGTCGATGGGAGACTTTAACGTACCTGTCAACCCCTTATCAGTGCCCTACCTTATTAAAGACTAATTCAGACCGCACATATCAGTTGGAGATCCGTTAGCACAGCAAACAACAACATCAACAGACAAAATAGAAAAAAAAAATTCATTATGGGGCCTTCCATAAATGACGTCACGCGATTTTGGACGATATTTGACCCACCCCCCCTTCGTCACACGACGTCACAACATGTCAGACCCCCCTCAAATATGACGTCACAAAGCTCTGCCCCCCCCCCCCCCCCAATATAAAACATGCTTCAAATCGCTTTAAACTATTGTAGTGCGTATTTAATGTGGTGATGCACTCTGATGTTGTAGGAGAAAACATTTATTAAAAAGTCTATTTAATTAAGTAGAACGAGTTGTTTATATTAATTTAAAGTTGCGCATTTTTACGTGACGTCACATTTCTCAACCCCCCCCCCCCTCGTCACACATCGTCACAAATGTCTGACCCCCCCCCCCCAGGTGCGTGACGTCATTTATGGACGGCCCCTTATTATGGGGCGAAACGTCACAGAGGCTCGAATCGTCAAACGCACTTGTGGGTTTTTAACTCTCCCGACACACAGCGACGGGTTAGGGGCCGTCCATAAATGACGTCACGCACCTATGGGGGGGGGGGGGGCAGACATTTGTGACGATGTGTGACGAGGGGGGGGGGGTTAAAAAATGTGACGTTACATAAAAATGCGCAACTTTAAATAAATATAGAAAACACGTTCTACTTAATGAAGTAGACTTTTTTAAAAACGTTTTCTCCTACAACATCAGAGTACAGCGCCAAATTAAATACGCACTACAATGACAATAGTTTAAAGCGATTTGAAGCATGTTTTTTTTGGGGGGGTGGGGGGCAGAGTTTTGTAACGTCATATTTGAGGGGGGGGTCTGACTTTTTGTGACGTCGTGTGACGAAGGGGGGGGGGGTCAACATCGTCCAAAATCGCGTGACGTCATTTATGTACGGCCCCTTATCGCTGCTGAACTGGTAACCAAATTGGCCCCGTGAGACAACCCCCTTCCTGATTGTCTGTGTCGGGCGGTGGACGGGCGTCACGACACATCATTCATATTCACACGATCTACACCGCCCCCCCCCCCCCCGCTTTATTTGACCTTAAGAAATCCGATGATCCGTGAAGCATTTCACCGTGGGGAGACAGAGAGACACGCGCATTCCAAATATACAGCAGGCGTCCAGGTTGGGATGGAACCCACGACCTCCTGTATACCAGGCGAGATAGTTAACATCTCCTTGCCACCGTGATGATGATGATCAGAGACACGCAAACTTCAAATATCCAGCAGCTGGCATCGTCAGGGTCGGGATCGAACCCACGACCTCCTGCGTACCAGGCGAGGTAGTCAACATGTTCGAGCCACCGTGATGATGATGAGAGAGAGAGAAACGCAAACTCCAAATATACAGCAGCAGGCATCGTCAGGGTCGGGATCGAACCCACGACCTCCTGCATACCAGGCGATGTAGTTAACATATTCTAGCCACCGTGATGATGATGATGAGAGAGAGAGAGAAAAGCAAACTCCACATATACAGCAGGCATCGTCAGGGTCGGGATCGAACCCACGACCTCCTGCATACCAGGCGAGGTAGTTAACATCTCCTAGCCACCGTGATAATGATGAGAGAGAGAGACACGCAGACTGGAAATATACAGCAGCAGGCATCGTCAAGGTCGGGATCGAACCCACGTACTCCTGCGTACCAGGCGAGGTAGTTAACATCTCCTAGCCACCATGATGATGATGAGAGAGAGAGATAGAAACGCAAACTCCAAATATACAGCAGGTATCGTCAGGGTCGGGATCGAACCCACGACCTCCTGCGTACTAGGCGATGTAGTTAACATCTTCTAGCCACCATGATGATGATGAGAGAGAGACGCAAACTCCACATTTACAGCAGGCATCGTCAGGGTCGGGATCGAACCCACAACCTCCTGCATACCAGGCGAAGTAGTTAACATATCCCGGCCATCCCAGGGTATCCCCTTGTGAACGCGTTCGCTCCAGAAAGGAAGGTGGCTCGCAGTTGAAACTTTACTCTAATTAACACGATCCTAAGGGCTCGGCTATTTATAAAGGCGCTCGACCGGGACGCGATAAAAAAACCCCCTCGGGTTGACGAATTCGCCCCTGTACCTTGACTGCAAGTTACCCCTTGCGACCAAAGAGACACACACCACCCCCACACACACACACCCACACACGCACACAGCAACCCACACACATACCAACAATCACCCCACCCACCGCTATGCAGTATATAAATATGGGTGTGTGTGTGTGGTGTGTACTGAGAGATGCATCCGCAAGGTCCTGCTGGTTGTCTGTCCAAAGTAGATTTTATGTTTTATTTTGTGTGTATCTACTATAGCAGTCGATGGTTCTTGCTGGATGTCCCCAATGGTGAAGGTGAGCGTATTGTCTTGATAGACACGCACTATCACCACGACCACCACCACTCCTTCCCTACCTTATCGATCTTACAAGAACACCAAGTAAAAATATCCCCCGTGTAGCTGTAACAAGCTGTTCGTGCCAAGCGCTGCTAGCGAGTAGGCACCAATAAAGGCAGGCATGGCACACTAGGCGGTGGGTGGCCATCACCACGCCCGGCCACCTTTGTCTCCCCAGTGGCTTAGAGACTCAACGCTGCCCGTAGACTCAACACTGTCAGTAGACTCAGCACAGCCCATAGACTCAACACTGTCAGTAGACTCAACACTGCCCATAGACGCAACACTGCCCATTGACTCAGCACTAACCATAGACT